TCCCCATTGCTGGGAAATCACTAGATGTCGCTCCAACTGGTTTGGTCGAATTAATCTTGGGGAATGTGAACCCTCCAGGTTTCTTCGATGTCTTCGGGGCCTTTGATGGCATAGTTACTGCATGGCATAAAAAGACATCAGCAAAGAGAATCTTCCTTTGTTAGCAAAGGCTTAAAGTTTTTCGACATGAGAAATACTTATGTGCTGGATCTTCGAAAGACGCCTCGGGGCTGAAAAAAAAACTGTATTTTCACAGATTAGTAGTAGTCACAAGCAGCTTCGTGTCGTGACTCTAGTCGGGCAATCGACCAAATGCCTCGATGCGGCTTAAATCAGCTAGCGCTGACAATTTGGTCGTTTTGTTTTCTATAAGAAAGCAAAAAATTCATTAGTCTTATTTATCAAGGAAGAGTTGAAGGACAAGCAGTCTGGAAATTAAATTGGAAACATACTCGGTTCATTAAATTTACGGATTCCATGGTACTTGAAGAAGAAATACTTGGTTTTGGAAGCCCCGACGTTGCTGGGGTAACCAAATATCCCTCTTTGATCGTTAATCGCTTGGAGACGTAGTATGAATCATTATCTTTACTCTTCTTTAGGTAGTAAGCGCAGCCAAGTTCCACTGTTGTTGGCTTGCCGAGGTTGTGTTCACCAAACGCGATATACATAACGACCGTTATCATATATGCATTCAGCATTAACTAGAATGGTGCGGTCTGAAAATAGTTAAGAATCGACTTGATGTAAGGGTGGAGAGGTATCCTCACTCCAAATTTGAAGATCGCTTCCGAGATCGTAGCCATTCGCTCGAGAGGGTCTTGATAAGTGTACAACCTATACCGATACACGTTTACATTGATCGCGTATTAGTCTAGTGCTTTTTGGATTTCATCCTTTGTGATTGTTGTTCGTACCACCTACCTAGGGCCTACTGAGGTGCCTAGTGGTTGCGAGCCTCCCTCTCTAGCTATCCTCACCTTAGGGATGTCCATCGCTTTTAAAGTCTGAAAATGTGCAACATGTAAAGGTGACTCAGTCTCCGTTTACATTACCCCGTAAGGCGACTCAAAAGAGTAAAAGATACCCTGGTTTCTCTTATATAGTCGCCAAAACCCGAAAAATTCTTAAGGGTAGTTTTCTAAAGATCTATGCCCGAGGTTTCAACTCCTAAGAGTGTTTCTTTTTAAACACTACTCGAGGATGTTCACTGTCTAAGCCTATCAAACGTTTACACCCATCATTACTGTAAAAACTAAGTTTTTTAACAGAAATGAAAAAGAGAAAAGGAAAAGAATTTTCTTTACCTCTTGATTGTTGGGAATAGATGTTATGTCGTAGCAACGAGTGCGTATTAACTAGGAAGAGGATAAACTAATCTCTTGAGTGTAAAAACGCCATTTTTCTCTCTGAAAGTTTAAGTTTTGTGAAAAACTTGAAATGGGCTTAGGTTTTTATAGGGAGGAAGACAACGCTTGGTTTTCTTTTATAAGCAACATTTGGGCAGGACGTGTTAACAATCGTTGATCGTGATCATATGTCATCAATCTGCGTGAAGAGTAACCATCACACTTTGTGGAGAACAACCGGTGTTTCCCTTCATTGAAATTGTCAAATGTCGACGTGATTATCTCCTCCATATTAAATGTGCCCTCATCCGCATTTAATGCTTCAAAAGAGAATGTCATTTCAGCATGGCTTGCATTTAATGCTCATGGCTGAAATGCATTACACAAAGACACGTCTGCCAGATAAAGTTTATTTTATTGATCGAAACAGCTGTCAAGCGCAACGAATAACATCTGAAGAGGTCATTCGAATAAAACACTCTTCTCTTCGTGTCAAACTCGAAGCAAAATGATTCTCAGTTTTTTATAGTGAAATATCCTAAGTGTTTTCAGGTCATGAAAGTTAGATAAAGCTCAAAACACGTTGTTATAGTGCTGAGCAAGATCCCCATGGGTCGTTGAACCTTTTGGAACGATCGCCTCAAGTCGCTTGTGTAACTCTCGAAGATTCATGTTGTGACTTTTTCTCAGTTCACTGGTCAAGTAAAGCTATCAACCTCATGTCGTTTGTAACAATGTGACTGTCCTCAACTGATGGTTTAAGCAAATACTCCTCGTAACAAGTCAGGTCGCGACATAATCATGAAGTTCTCAAGATTCAATCCTTGAACCTTAAGAACTAGGGAGCTTCTGTTATGCCTAAAAAGTCAAGGCTGACATAAGCTTACATCAGTAAGCAACAATCAGAGTTCAGGAAGGTTTTGCGTCATCCAAGAGCTGCCACGTTGCTCTATGACAGAAAGTGTATGACTGTCACCAACTTGGCAGATTCAGGTTTTGTCTATGAGTGAATAAGGGTTGCACACTTATCTAAGCCCCCAAGTAATTTGAGGATATTTCCTAAGTTATCAGCCAATGGGACGCAAGAAAGGACTTGCACGACACCTACCCACTTGTAGATTTGTAATTATTACCTTGAATTCCTCTACTACAAATAGAGGACTCCCCCTTTCATTTTCGGGATTCTGATACTAAATTCTTATTCTGATTGTAATCTTTATTTTCAGATCAAAGATAACCTAATTGAAAAAGGCTGAGATTGATATTCTATCTGAATATTAAGTTATTGTACCTCTGTTCGTAGTTCGCTGTATGCGACCTCCTATAATCTCTCATATATAAAATATCAGTAGATGTAGGATTCGCTTTAAACATTTGAACCACTTTAAAAATCATCCCCCATTTATTATTCAATCTTTGCATTAGATTATCATAATTATTCACGTTTAATTTCTAAGAGTTGCTTAACACTTTACACGTGCGAGTTATTGGTGTCAAAATCAAGCATCAACAAGTGAAAACCACCATCATTTATACTACATAAATTCTCCATATTCTTTGCTTCAAATAAATAATGTATGCCTATTTTATAACTTGATGATAGTGTGTATATACACGTGTCGAATGCACTGATGTGGCACCTTTTTATTGGTAGATTCAAGCATAATGAGAGAGTTACCTCTTTTGATGGTACTTTTGACCAAGTCAATGAGACAACTTTCTACACATCCGCCATTCCTCAATGTATTAATTGGTGATACATTCATTACTAATTTAACACACCTAGTGATCACGAAGGGCTGGCATTTTTAAATCATGTATTAAGACTAATAATCAATGTTCAAATGTTGAACAGTCTAATTTGTATAACTTTAGTGTAGTGATATATACCAAATCTTTCTCATAGAAGATTAGCTAATTAGTAACAACAATTGGATGATTTGATGATAAAAAAGCAAAAAAAAAAGTTTCATAAGCTTCTAAATTCAAGTCTTTCCAAACACTAATAGGAGTGACCAATAAAGTTCTTACTCGACTGACAATTTTAAAGTTTCGAGAGATTAATTGAGATTCACGTAAGTTGGCTCAGACATCCCTAGTAACAAAAAAAAAAAAGAAAATATTAACTAGAAAGATCACTAATGAGTCACTTATAATATTGAGTCTATCAATGATAACTTTGAGTTATTTTTATCTATATTTTTCAATCATGATTGAGGTAAAGTAAATATTATCTACCTAGAAATAAAAGTTAGAATTTAACTTAGAATTTTGACACAAGATTTCACCGTTCATGAAATACAATCTATAGTTAGATATCATAATATAACAGTTAACCTGGTAAAACGGTTCAGACCATATCTAGGTAAAATATAGGTACGGGTCCAATTGTATTGGACCTGTTTTTCTAGATTCGTACCCGACCTGGCCCGTATATTCAACGGGTTATACGGTTCAACCTGCAGGTGCCTGTTAAAAAAAAAAAAAAAGGGATTTAAAAAAAAAAAAAGGATTTGTTTATTTTAATTAGTATTTGTAGCTTTTTATTTTACGTTATTAACTTATTGTGTTTGTTTATGTATATTAGTGATTATGTATTTGTTTATTTTGGTTGGTATTTGTAGTTTTGTATTATATGTTATTGACTTGATTGTTGTATTTGTTTATTTGTATTACTATTAGTAATTATGTATTTGTTTATTTTCGTTGATATTTATAGTTTTGTATTATATATTATTGACTTATTGACTTATTGTGTTTGTTTATGTGTTATTTGTTTATTTTGGTTCCTATTTATTTATATTCTAAATTGAATTAAATTTAGAGTAGTTGATTTTGGAGGTGTAAATGTAAAAAATTAAAATTACAGGAATTTTGGGAGTGTAACTGTCATAATTGAAAACTATTAGGCGTAAAATACAAAATTTAAAACCTAGAGAGAGAAAAAAAAAGGGAATCCGCAGGTTCTCCCTTACCCGCATAGGATAGGATATGGGTCTAATATTTTAGACCCGTATATGACCCAGACCTGTGAGACCCGAACCAGCCAACCCGCCTGTTTTGCCAGGTCTAAATTAACAGTGTTCTCTATTGGTGGAGACTCTCTATGAGACGTCAATCAAAGACATTACTTAGTTTTGATTTTACAGCTAGCTGTGATGATAATGTAAGTACTGAACGTGGAAAAGTTTTGATGGCAACTGCAGCCCAGTTGTATGGAGTATAATTGGGGTTGGGGATGATGACAAAGTGTATTATTATTAAGTGTTGACAAAGTTTAGAATGTTGAGTGTGATTGATGTTAATGCGAAGACGTGGGTCAAGTTAATTGAAGTGTGAAACTGAGTTGGATGGTTGTTTAGTGAAGACGAAAGTGAGTAGTGATTCCAGCTTATGGTTCATAGACACCCGAAGTGTGAAGTCCAAGTACGAGGCATCAAGCCTCCTGCGTGCCAATTGGCATAGACTCGTACAAACAAAGTTAAAATGATAGTTGTCCAACAAAGAAAAAGAAAACGTATGGAGGATGAGATATTTTTGAATGCTTAAGTCTCATCTAAGATTTTGTTTTTTGGGATGCACAGTTTGATTGATGATAATAGTAGGTTCAATTCTATGAATTCTTTAATTCAATAAGATTTCTTGCCACAACTCTAATAACTAAGTTAACCCTATAAAAATTTGAAGTGTTGTGAGCAACAAATGTGTAAAGTGGCAGAACAGAAGCAACACCGCCTCCATCAGTTAAAAAGTTTTTTCATTTTCCCAACTTCCATTTTAGAATCATCTATTGAAACTCAAACGCATAACCAGTACATCCCTCACAAAATCAAACCCTCTATATTTTCGTGGAGAGCGGCGGTAGGGCTTGGAATCGTCAGTGGCGGGGGGGTATTTTCTTTTATTTGAATTGGGATATTGAGATAAAATATATGCTGACAAATTTTACAAGTTCACAAATTGAGATAACAAATTTGCTGTTGGTGGGTTTGGATTTTGTGGGTTGGTTTGGTTGTGTGGAATTTTCAATTAAAAAATTGATTTTGTTTTGATGGTGAAGAAGCAATAACACCGATGCTTAAACAGTTGAAACATTTTACATTCTCTTCATATTCAACATCTTCTTGTTCCACTTTGATTAACTGCCTTCACTCTCATCTCCCACAAACTCTTCACTCTCTTCTCCAATACCATGCTCTTATAATCACCTCTGCCAACTCTGACAACATCTTCATTGCCTCCAAACTTATCTCTCTCTATGCTTCTTTCACTAAACCCCATTTCTCCACTCAAGTATTCAACTTAGTTTCCAACAAAGCTGACACCTTTCTTTGGAACTCCATCATCAAATCCCACTTCTCTAATGCCAACTACCATCAAGCTTTACAGTTCTTTCATTCAATGCGGTTATCGAACACCCCGGTTAATGATTTTACCATTCCAATGGTTGTCTCTGCATGTGCGGAGCTGAATTGGAAATTTTATGGGGATTATATCCATGGGATAACTTTAAAATGTGGACTTTTTGAGAAGAACTCTGCTGTTGGGTCTAGTTTCGTATATATGTATACGAAGTGTGGTTGTGTGGAAGATGCAAGTGTTGTGTTCGACGATATTGTTGAAAGAGATGTGGTTGCATGGACCGCACTTGTTATCGGGTATGTGCAGAATGGGGAGAGTGCTAGGGGTTTGGAGTGTCTTTTTGAGATGATTAGCGTTGGTGGAGATAGTGAAAAACCGAATTTTAGGACAATTGAAGGTGGGTTCCAAGCTTGTGGGAATTTGGGTGCTTTGAGTGAAGGAAGGTGTTTGCATGGTTTTGCAGTGAAGACTGGACTTGGAAATTGCCAAGTTGTTCAGTCCTTGGTTTTGTCTATGTATTCTAAGTGTGGGGATACTAAAGAAGCTTATTTTTCATTTTCTGAAGTGGCTGAAAAGGATCTTCTTTCATGGACATCCATTATTGGTGTGTATGCGAGATCTGGCTTAATGACAGAATGCTTGAGTATGTTTCGGGAAATGCAGGTTGGTAGAATGCATCCAGATGGAATTGTAATTAGTTGCATGCTTTTGGGCTTTGGGAATACAATGCGTGTTTGTGAAGGAAAGGCTTTTCATGGATTAATTTTGAAGAATAATGTGTTGGATCAGATGGTTCATAATGCATTATTATCCATGTACTGTAAGTTTGGACTTGTAACTCAAGCTGAGAAGTTTTTCAAGACATGTTATGATTGGAACAGGGAGGCTTGGAACATTATGGTTATTGGCTATGGTAAGACAGGAATGGAAGCAAAATGTATACAACTATTTAGAGAGATGCAACATCTAGGCATTAAATTTGACTCGAACAGCTTGGTCTCTGTCATTTCTTCCTGTTCTCAGTTAGGAGCAAACTATTTAGGCCGGTCACTTCATTGCTTCATGATTAAAAACTGTGGAGATGAAAACATCTCAGTCATCAATGCACTCATAGATATGTATGGGAAGAATAGTAATTTGACCATTGCACACAGATTGTTTTGTAGGGCACAAAAGGACATTGTCACATGGAATACAATGATCTCAGCTTACACTCATAGCGGACATTCTGTCGAGGCACTTGCCTTATTTGATCTAATGATCTCAGGAAAATTGAAGCCCAATACAGCTACTTTAGTATCTGTAGTTTCAGCTTGTTCTCAGCTTGCATCCCTTGAGAAAGGTCAAAGGATTCACTGGTACATCAAGGAAGCAGGATTTGAGCCCAATCTATCTCTATACACTGCATTGGTTGACATGTATGCAAAATGTGGGCAACTTGAGACATCAAGAGAATTGTTCAACTCAATGAAGGAAAGGGATGTCATTTCTTGGAACGTTATGAACTCAGGTTATGGGACACATGGAGATGCAAAATCAGCGATAGAGATTTTCCAACAAATGGAAAAATCAAATGTTAAACCAAATACGCTTACATTTCTTGGTCTTCTTTTAGCCTGTACTCATGCAGGGCTTGTCGAAGAAGGGAAATATCTGTTTGATAGAATGCGGCACTATTGTGTGACACCGAATTTGAAGCACTATGCTTGTATGGTGGACCTTTTGGGCAGGTCAGGTAATTTGCAGGAAGCCGAAGCATTGGTTATGTCGATGCCTATCCCTCCTGATGGTGTTGTGTGGGGAGCTATGTTAAGTGCCTGTAAACTTCATAATGAAATAGAGATGGGAGTAAGGATGGCAAACCTTGCAATTGAATCTGAGCCTGAAAATGATGGGTACTATATAATGATATGCAACATGTATAGTTCTGTAGGAAAGTGGGTTGAGGCAGAAAGGGTAAGGAAAATGATGAAGGAAAGGGGAGTGGGGAAGAGAGCTGGTTGGAGTGCATTGTAACATGATGAATCAGGAACGCTATGTTTACTCCTTTAGTCATAAAGGCATAGTGTCACTCTAATGAGTTGCACTGGTTGAGAAATGAGGAACACTTGATTACTTCTTTTTCACTTTCAGGTAAATCATCTTCAATTATCTGTGATCAATTTAATCCTCATCTATGTAATGTATTATATGTGATTTTCCTAGTTATAAATCATAAATTTTATTTCGAGGAATTTGGTGTTTACGGTGATGAGGCATGCAGGGATCGCATAAAGCTTTTCTTGCCAGAAAAAGAAAAGCTTTGGATTCTAGTTGCCCTTCCCTTCTCTTTATTGCTCATCCTCATACTCATGCCCACAAAATTGTGCTTTTAGATTCAAGTTTTCTATCTTGTGCTCTGGTTTGCTACATTTGATTTGTGGTATGGGTTTTATTTTTTCGCCTTCCGGTGGGGTTTAATTTGTTAATTTTTGTGTAACAGTTAACTGACTAGCTGTAAGTATCTTTGTTTTCTTTCTCATAATATCAAACTAAATTCTTTTTATCTTTTTGGTTATTGAGTGGTTAGTCTATAAACATGTTGTCTTTCATTAGACTCATGCATGATGATAATCTGTATCCTTGTCTTCTCTTTTCCTTGAATTATGAAATTTTCTATGTTTCCTTAATTGAGTTTGTGCTGTCTTTCTTTTTGCTGGATGTCAATTGAGAGATTGCAATTTGAGAAGAGCTGTGGATCAACAGGTCCAGGAAGACTGAACGAAAATGTGAAATGTCCTCATGGGCAAAATAGCTGGAGTTTCATCTGGAAAACAGAGGAATGTTTCTTAATAGTTTTGCGCCGGACGTTGACTCTTGATGGAATGCAACATGATAACGCAAAACCGAATTTGAAGAACTCTGCAGTTGTATGGTGGATCTTTTGGGCAGGAAGCTGAAGCACTAATTATTTCAATGCAATGCCACCTGATGAGAGTGTGTGGGGAGCTTTATTAATTGCTTGTAAAACTGATAATGAAATAGAGATAGAAGGATGGCAAAGCTTGCTAATGAATGTAAACCCTCAAAATGATGGCTTGTACATGTAGCTGTTGGAAACTGGGCTGACGCATAAAGGGACGAGAGTTGGTTGGATTGGATTGGAATATGAAGAACAGTAGTATTACACTCATAAACCCTTCTCACTTTCTTTCACAAACACGGCGTAATTGGTCAGTTGGTAATAGATTTTGCTTATCCAACAATGGATCATGTCTGCCCAACAATAAGTCCCGATTAAATGATAATGTGATAATAACTAGTGAATATATTTATGATAATGTGTTTATAGCGAACTTTATGTTTACTTATTTTTTTTTTATCGGAAACATGGTATCAATCTAAAAAGTGACGGGGGTCAACTGATGGCATTGTGATTCTAAAGTTTACCCAAAAGTTACGTTATATTTTGGTATTTCAAATTGTATGACATTCGCATATTCTAGGAACCTTTTAAAATATCAGATTATAATAAGTCTCTTTGGTTGATTGAAATATTTACCGAATGAAAGCCAGCTAACATTAACAATAATTTAGTTAAGAGTTGGTTTTTTAATAGAACAAGCATCTTCATGCACGGAACCGACGCAACTACGCTTCCTTTTTTGGTACAGAAGAAGGGTATTTTTGTAAGTGAAAATCAATTAAGTACTTGTGCTGTTGATCAAACTTTCTGTGTGTTTTCTTAGGGAATCACACTTAAGATTCGTCGGCGTCTTTCAGGTAATTAATTTGAATTATTATTATTATTATTATTATTATTTTCTGGTTAGTGTCGAATTAATCGGAATTTGGGAATCGCAGTAATGAAAAATGCAGAGATCACGTAACGCTTTTCTTATTCTCGCCAGAAAACGAAAAGCTTTTTATTACAACTTGTTCATTCGTTGTTGCCTTTCTCTGTTCTTCATTTCTCGTGCTCTTTCCCACAAAGGTATGCTTTCTTTTTCAACTTTTTTCTGAAAGTTGAAACTTCTGTTTCATTTACTTACGTTTTTGAAGTCGTGTGATCAGTATTTGATTTCGAATATTTATTGCTATGATGTCGGATTGGCTCTTTATTGCTTTTTTTCAAATGGGTAGTCATCCGGTTCACTAGTTATTGTTTTTTTGTTGCGTGGTTATAGACAGACCAGAGATTTTGGATAAAAAATTATGTCTGCCAGATGCCCGGGTGGGATTCATGAAAGTGTTTCTTCCTGGAGCTGAGTGTCGGACTGTGGATATGTGTTGTTACTCTGCTGATGGGAATGACACGACGGTCTCCGGCAATCAAAAGAGATGTGAAGGAGAAGATGTTACATTAGTCAAAGAGCAAGCCGAGGCTGACAATCTTAGTCTGAGTGAAACTATATTGGTAAAGGATACACCAAAGAGTGATCGGTTGGTTCGTGATGTGCCACTAGGTTTTGATGAGTTTAAAAATAAAGCGATTAATCCTAGGGGAAAGCCTGCCCTGCACCAAGCTGGAAGCATTAAGTACAGAGTAGAGCCTGGTGGGGAGGAGTATAATTTTGCATCTGCCTCTAAGGGAGCTAAGCTCGTTGCTGCCAACAAGGAGGCAAAGGGGGCACCTAACATCTTGGGCAAAGACATGGACAAATACCTTCGCAATCCCTGCTCAGCTGAAGAGAAATTCGTGGTCATAGAACTTTCTGAAGAAACTTTAGTAGATACCATTGAAATAGCAAATTTTGAGCACCACTCCTCCAACTTGAAGGGATTTGAGCTACTTGGTAGTTTGGTTTATCCAACTGACTCATGGATGTTGCTTGGGAATTTTACAGCTAAAAATATAAAACAGTCTCAGAGATTCACTCTTAAAGAGCATAAGTGGGTGCGATATCTGAAATTAAATTTCCTTAGCCACTATGGCTCAGAGTTCTATTGCACACTGAATACTGTGCAAGTATATGGAGTTGATGCTGTTGAGCACATGCTAAAGGATTTGATCTCTGCTCAAGACAATTTCCTTTCATCTGAGGAATCAGCTGATGAGCCAAAAGCAATTCCTCCACAGGTATCACCCTCTCAAATTGATGGTCAGTATGAAAATCTCGTTAAGGAAGGTGACACAATACCTGGTCCTGATGATGCCGCACCAAAACTTGATGCTTCTGTCAATGATGTGGGTGATCAAGTTGGAGACTTGCGGCAGCATCCTGTGGGAAGATTGCCCGGGGATTCTGTTATTAAAATATTGATGCAAAAGGTGCGAGCATTGGACTTGAATTTGTCTGTCCTGGAGCGGTACCTGGAAGAATTGAACTCAAGGTATCGGAACATTTTCACAGATTTTGAGAAAGAAATTGCGGCAAAGGATGAGCTACTAAGAAAGATGAACACAGATTTGATGAATCTTGGTGATAGGAACAATGCCATTGTATGTGAAGTATCAATGTCATGATTTTACTTATATTATTTTGATTAGCATTGTTTCCTTATAATTTTTACTCAATGTTGTCATTGCAGGAGAAGCAAGTTCAAGATATAATGTCCTGGAAACCGATCGTCTCCTTGCAAGTAGATATTTTAAACAGAGAAAATGCATTTTTGAGGTAGAACCAATTTCTAACATTATTATACATTGTTTTCATCATTTTTAGCTCTTGTTAACAAGTTAACTCTGGGCTAAGGATTGGATTGAGTGATTAAAAGACCCTCTGTTCTAACCAAGTGGTTAGGAGATCAAACCCCTTGCACCTATCTACTTAGTAAATAATATGAGTATGGAAGTAAGTCTCTACTTTAGATCTTGGTGAACAAGAAAAGGGTAAAGGAAGTCGTAGGTATCAGCTGAAAAAAAAATAGTTGGATACCATTTGTTAATGGCCACTAAATTGAGATGCTTTGCTTGTTGAATGTTTTTCTGGCAAAGCTTTGGCATGGAAGAGGACAATTTCTAGAACAGTTTCCTTTGTTGAAGTTTCTATTTTTTGGGTCTTCAGACCAAAAATCCAGGCATTTGTATGGCTTTAAGGTGGAGAAAATTATAGGTGGTTGTATTGCTTCGAATTCTGAATTAAGATTTGTTATATGGTTACTAATGAGTTAGGATTCTCATTTGGCCTTTCTTTGGAGATTTACTTTGTATTGCTAATACTTGTGACAATACCTAGTTTTGGAACTCTAAATTTGCAAAATATGGTTTATTTGATATCTGTCGCATTGCATCATATTGAAATACAGATAACTATCTTCATTAATATGTGCAACATGGTATACCAGATCATGGGATTTGTGCGTGAGTTGGATCATGTTTGTCAAAGCACATCCTTGGTCCAAGATATAACATGTCAGGCAGAGCTCAGCTGAATAGCAGCCAAAACATAAATTTCCTTGATAAATCCAGCAAGAGGCTTTATTTGTAGGATTCCTCACCAATCCTACATTAGAATTGACCGTACACTTGAGGCCTGGCCTCAGTCAGTGCAAAATATATATTTGCCAAAATCGCCCATTTGTATGTTGGCGCTCATGCATCAGACATCATTGTTTCTTGTGTTCAGCGGTTGTGGAGTTTGTTCCTGCACATCATTTTTGTTGCTCTCTGCACGATTTTCCTCTTTTAGTTTCTTTTGTAATCTACCACTTGTAAGCTTGGGGCTGTAAACATGTGTTTTTCTAACAAAATGCTTCCCGTATGCAGGTTGAAGGTGGAAAGAATCTTGGAAAATCAGGAACACGTGGAAAATAAGGAGATCATTGTGCTTCTTATAAGCTTGGTTTGTAGTATCTTCGCAACTTTTAAACTATTTGCAGATATGACAAGTGTATGTAGAAGAAAACAAGACTTGGGGATATTTTGTCGTGCTAATATTTCCTGGATTTTCGCACTGTTATGTTTTAGCAGTATAGGAATTATTCTTTCCTTGTAAAATCAGAAGTTATACCAAGTAATTTGAGTTTCTCTTTATAGATGTGAGATAGAGATCTGATCACCCAAACACTACTACTATCCATTATGTCGAAATTGCATCATGTCCATATATAAATTTGATTTTGGTGTTTTTTTTATTTTCATATGCAAATTTTCAAGAATGAGCATCGTCTGGTGTTGGTCGCTTCTACAGAGAAGGGGTGATTTATTTTCCATCCTAAACTTCATATATTTCCTTGAGGATATTATATCATGCACCAAGAGAGACATTCCTCTTGGCTTGTGCCTATATGATTATGTTTGTCTGATCTGAAGCAAATAATATGTATCATATTCCGCATTCATAGTCCACTTCTTTTATGTGATTAATTTTCAGAGTAACATTTAAACATTTCAAGTCATTCTCAAATTTTCCATTTGAATTGGTTTGTCTTCCTGCATGATTTCAGTTGCTTTATTATCATTTACATCAATGTCACATAAGAAGACATTAATTAGGACGAGAAATTTGAGATAAATACATGAACCGAGACTGAGGGGCATATATAAATAAGTGCAGCATGAAGTCAATAAGGGATTCTAGCAAAGAGTTTCTTCTAGTTGCTAGATTGTGTGCTAATATTAATCTCCCGACACCGAAAATATGGCCTTTTCTTCATAATCATTCTCTGCGTCAGTGCTTTGTTTAATACTCAAGTTTAACATAAATGTAAATCAATGATAATGAAGAATTCTCAATAATCCATATACTTGACATAGTTCGCCCTCATTCTATACAGAGAAAGATTATAATATCCCTAAGTTCATTGCATACGAAGGAACAAACTTATAAATATATGCCAATTTTATTCAACTATTACAAGAATATACTGTAGCAAAAATCCTCCACAAACTATTACATGAGGCACGCCCAAAAGAACTAACTTGAGATCGTATGAATGTTGCATGAAAATTAATCATTTGATTGCATTCAAAAGGGAACTTTGAAGCGCCTGCCCTTCTTCCCCTACGGTGCTTCAAATCTATCCAACAGTAAGAGCAAGATGTCTCAAGAATGACAAAACAACACTCTCATTGCAGAAAAGGGCTTCGATGTCTTCTCCTACAACTCATTAAATACTGATCCGTGGAGAACTTTGCCTCCAAACAATATTTAAACAACGATCTCATTTTGATGAAGACTAGACACGACGGTAACCATATACAACCAATAAAATGAATATTTAAACATATAGCAGACAACCAAAATTCATTCAGATATTTACTTGTGTGGCTTGATATGAGGGTACAGTCCCAATACGTGCTCCGGCATGAAGTCATGTCGCGTCAGAATTCCAACAATTGGAGGCCTCTGCAATGAGCAGACATAGTAACATTCTAGTAATTAGACTTTGGGGAATATTTGAGGCCATTAAGGGGTTAACATTAGTTTCCTATTGGAAAAATAATAAAAATACGCATTAAAAGAAATTAAGAAGAAAAAGGCTTATAGGAAAACGAAGAGCTGTAGAATACCATCTACATATGAGAGAGAGATCTTACCCCTTGACTCTTTGGAACAACACACATGTGCCTAAGACCAAGTTGCCGGAAAAGAATAGCAGCTTTGGCAAGTGACATTGTCTCAACCACTGTGTATGGGGATGTATTGGTAATCGGATGGAGATCAATGTACAAATCCATCTCTTCCTCTTCAATATCTAGATCATCTACTTTGATTCCCTTCCCTGAGCCAGCCTTGGCAAAATCAAATGCTGCAAATCTTTGCAATATCTCTTCTCCACCAAGTATTTTATCCTTGGAAAAAAATTTTCCCTTGAGCAAAACAAGCAAATGAGACCTCAAGACAACCCCACATAATTCTGGCGCATCTGAGAAAGGTGGATTATCAATCACGGGGAACCCGTTATGCCCTGTTGTTCTCAAAGCATGTAATATAGTCTCTACCTTTTCAACACCAGAAAAGGTTATCAATGGACCAGAAACAACATCAAGAGCAACCAACTGCCGCATGTAAGGTTCTGCATGGGCTTCCATATAAGGAAATCCCTTTAATTTCATTATTTGGTCATAGACACCTTTGTTAAAATTATCAGCCACGGACTTTGAAATAAGGAGAACCAACATAACAAGGGGTAGAAGCAACAAATCATTAGTAAGCTCAAGCAGTATAACACAAAGGGAAACTGTCATTCTCATGGTGCCACCAAGGAAGGACGCAGCTCCAAGGAGGGCAAAGAGACCAGTATCAAGTTTGGAAATGGATTCAAATAGTCTTCCTACTAAACGACCATAGCCAGCACCGGCTAGTATGACAGGGATGAAGAGCCCAGAGGGGATAGCAATCCCATAAGTTATAATTCCAAGGCAGAAAACAGCAGTAAAGAAGATGAACAGAGTAGAAATATGAAATTCTTTTGATGTGCTGGTGCTCATTAAATTTCGGATAGCATCGTCATTAGTGTTCAAAAAGAGGGAGGCAAGGTCATTGTAGTAGCCTGACGGGCACTGGAAGCTTTTATAGTTGCCAGATACATCAGTATTGGGGCAGCTAACAGATGAATCAGCAGGGCAGGGGATGCACTGTGCAAACCATGGCAGGCCATAAGAACAACAGGACGTTAGGAGGGCAATAGTGACAACAAGTAAGATTTTAAAGGCAGCACCTCTCCTGTAGCAGCAGAAATAGTAAACAGTTGGGTTTGGTATCAGAACAAAATATAAATTATGAATAAATAAAGCCAAGGATTATCATCATCACAGATATTCAGTGTATAATTTAAATAAAAATTAGTATACAATTCATCAAGAAGCTCAATAGCGAGGGAGGGGGTATTTTTTTCTTAAAACAAAGTGATAAGCAGAGTCTGCACAGATGATTGCAATGCTGTTGTGCTACTACAAATATTTGTGATGACCTATCTCTTGTACCATGTGAAAATGTAATAGCTGTGATCAAATAGGAAAACATACTCATTTATGATGCTATAAACACGAAGAACCTTGTCCACCAGATAATTATAAAAGCTTCCAAAAATGCCTCCAATGATTCCTAAAAGTAGGACAGCTAATATATCTGAACTGCTGTATGTAACTGTTGCAGCACTGACATCATACATTATCAGACCACCTTCACCAAACAATCCACAGCTTCCAGAAGAGCAAAGTTGCATAAAAGCTCTCAAGACTATAGCAACCACTGCTGTTGTGAAAAATGTTCTCCAAAGAAGAGCACTCCGCCACCTGAAGGGTGTCCAAACGAATGACATGTCATTGATCCTGAAAACAACCCCTAAACCTGACTTTGAAATACACCTGAAAATTAATTACTATGTATGCTTCTTATATTCTATTTAACAAAAATATTCCTCAGTTTGAGTTTCCCAAGCAGTTGCCTAATCTAATTAAAGCTAAAATGTATTCGAAGCAAAAGCATATTCTGATGGAGCCAATAGCTTCTACCCTATTGCCAAATTCAATGTGTGGCCATGCAGCAAAATCAACAAATATACAAGAGATTGAGGTACCAAGAAGCTGCCTCTTCAAGGGCAAAGAGGACACCACCAACTGGAGCACGAAAGGCAGCAGCCACACCAGCTGCAGCTCCACAAGTGATCAAGTCTCTTCTATCCCGATCATTTTTAAAATATCTCAGCCATCTCCATGTCAAATGGTATTTGCGAGAACCCCCTTGCCCGAGCAAAGAGGCTATGCAAGCACCAGTGTGAACCATTGGCCCTTCTTTACCCACAACAAATCCAGCAGAAACACCAAGCACAGAACCGAAAATCTGCCATATATGAAGTAATATCATATAAAATCCACAACTACCCGAAAAAAAAGAGAAAAAAAAAAAAAAAAAAGAATGAGAACATATTAATGTTCCATGCAAGTATCGATAGAGTAGATGTTCTATCGTTGGACAATAATTGTTTTTACATAAAAGAGGAAAAGAAGACTAAGAAAAGATAATGTACTGAATTTCACAATTTAAATAGAAAAAATCAGCATAAAAGCACACATCAACAGGAAAAGGGGGAAGCAGAAATTTTGGCATAAAATTACATGATACACATATAAATATACATCTATTGGACTATTAGTGATTATGAACCACAATTGGTTTCTTCCACATTCCAGAAGATCAGTATATTTTAATATGTTCTTCAATCCACCCACTCAAACACATGTACAGAGAGACAATGTGCACACACATAATGAGATGTCTAGAGTCACAAAGTGCACACACATAAATAGGTGTCAAATTTTACTCACCTTTACGAAAAGAGTACCTGGAGCTAGTATTGAATAAGCATCCACACCATTGAGATAGGCTTTCACCTCAGGGATACCAGACCCTGCTGCTGCCGGAGCAATATAAGCACACAGAGCTCCAGCTGCAGCAGCCAAACCTACATTACATCCCGCATAAACAGCAAATGCCTTAAAATACCTGCACCAGAATTGTTATCATATAACAGTTATACAACCAATTGAATATAAAACTCGCAGACAGAATTAGATTAAAGAGAGCAGGTTATGATATATTCGTTCTACTTTCTTATGGCTGAACTAGTGAGCAACCAGGTTGAATTAAACTACAATTATTGAGAAACATGTCTAATGAATGGGGTCAAAAAGCCATGTTTATGTAAATTGTTTCCTAGTAACAATTCTAATATGGTAAAATAAAAAACAAAAGTAATTGATAAATGGAAGTCTAGCTACATATAATAGAAAGAAAGCTCACTTTTTGTCGGTCATGAGATCAGTAGTGACAAGTAGCTTAAAACCAGATATGTTCTCCACCGCAATATTGTTGAAGATGCCAACAAGTCCAGTGAATAGCCCTATACAAAGAGCAAACGCCCACTTGAGTATTACATACTGGAATATCTGAACCTTCTTCCTTGATCTCCAGTCTTGCTTAAATAACTCATTTTCCACAATCCTGTAAAATTAAGTAGCGAAATTTAAGAAAAAAGAAGAGCAAGCGTTGGGTAAAATAAAGGGAAATAGAAGTAGTTACTCGTAGTCAAGGCTTTCAATGGGGCAAACATTGGCGCCAACAATGGCAATCTGGGAAGTGGTGTTGACCCTTTTCGACAAAAGTGGTTGAGTGTAAGACTCAGCGGTCCAAGTCTCCTTGCAATCCATGAGTTGATCATTTTCAATGTCCCGCCCATCCATATCAGGCTCATGATTCACGCTATTCTCTGTATCCATGTTATGATTCTTTCACCTCTCGCTGCAACCTGCTAAATCTTAAAATTAAATAGGAAAAAGCACAACAGGGTTGAGATCATATGATTATATATT